CCGCCCGCCGCTTTATAACGTTTGGGATGATAAGAGCGGCGGCTCCCCGCGGCACGGAGCGGGGTCGCGCCCCAGCGGCGGCCCCGGGCGCGGAGCTCGCGGCCTCGCGCCCGCCGCCGCTGAAGGAAACGCGGGCGCTGCCCCAGCCAGGCCCCCGGCGCCTCCTTCCCGTCCCCCAGCGCAGCGGCAGCGCAAAACGCCGCAAAACGCCTGCGAACGGCGGCCTCGTTGCTCCCTCGCCCCTCACGTGTGCGTTGCAACTTAAATAAAGCGCCACGCTCCGCTAGACGGCACCTGGCAGCAGAGCCCCCYGCGCCCAGCGCGGCCGAGTCACCCAGGAAGGCGCCCGGTGTGGAGAGCACCCCGGGACACGAGCCTCGCTGCTCGCTAAGGCCTTTCCTGCTTCCCTGTTAATGATCTGCAGGGCTTTGCCCCCAGCTTACTGCTTTCCTAGGAAAGTTAATGCTCCGCGCGCAGCCTCCCAGGGTCCGGGGGTCCCTCGAGCTGCCCTGAGCAGAGCAGCTGCCGTTACACAGAGCAATGAGAGCCACGAGGTCGGGGAGTTCATTAAAACTGAGCTGCGAGCTGGCCAGGCGTAGGTTTAAATTCAGGATTTGGAGCTGCTTCCKAAAAGAAATGTTTGCTCGTGAATTGCCTTCGATGGCGTTGTCCTTCCCGAACCATCAAACCACCGGAGCACCTGATGGAAGGTCAATTCTAGCCCTCTCCTGGTGAAGGTACTTGAGGTGGCAGCTGCGGGTCTTAAAATCCAATTCCAAGCGGTCTCCAAGGCTCTCCGTCAGCTGGAGCATGGAGCGATCCCCCTCACCTCTTCCTCGGAAGGGTTTTGGTGGAGACAGAGCGCCAGCTTTGGCCCGCTGGACGCAATGGGATTGAACTGGTTATGTGCAAAGCAAACATGGGTTTACGTTGCTGAGAAAGGCGAAGGGATGCAGCTGCCAAACCCCTATCTGGCCACGGGAATGGCATTCCTCGCTGGAGCGCCTTTGCAAAGCAAATATTAGGCTACAGTGACAATAATGCTGCCCCTGCTTGGATGCTCCCTGTGCTCGCCCGACTCCTCACGGAGTTGGCAGCTCTGGTGCTGAGAAGCTGTTTTTATTTCATGGCATTTCTTTATCCTTTGGGGTTTGTTGGCTAAGGTTTAGCTCAAGGCCCATGTAAACAGAATTGATTTGTTGTTTGCTTTCCTCTCTCTTTCTTTCCTGGTAAAAGGTGATTCAAAGGAGCAGAGGCATTGGGCCAGCAGCGGGCCAAGCTCAGCCCCGCTCCTGCAGCCCAGCAGGACGGCAGGTCCTGCAGGCACCCRGATGCTTGGAGCGGCACTGGTGATGCCATGGAGGAAGGCCGGGATAACTCGGAAAAGTGTGGATGGGGACAGGCGTGCTGAGAGGAGTGACAAGCCGTGAGCCTGCAGCAGGGCAGCCAGCCCAGTCCCATCCCACCGGATGCAGGGAGAGCGCACGGACACTGGGAATCCTCGCTGCTGAATCTGACAAGCAGGGTCGCTGCCCTCCAGGGGAGCCTGCATGATGGTTTTAGCAGAAAAAAATGCAATAAAAATGCTGCTATGTGCTTTGATCCGCCCGAGCGAGCCCACAGGGAATGGGCCTGTGCTGACGCTGGACAAACAGGGCTCTGCGACGCCTCTCCTGCCTGGTGCCAAGCGGAACCGTCTGGGATTGTCAGCAGCCYGTGGAGCCACAGGGAGAGTTTTGCAGAGCGTGACGCTCTTGCAGCCTCCCTAGCCTTAAATTAGCTAGATAAGGTCACTGGTCTCCGGGGACAGGGGGAATTGCTTATGTCGAGGCTCAAGCACAAGCCTGGGGGAYGAGGTGACCACAGCTTGCCAGGAGGGTAAATACCAGAGCAGAGCGCTCAGCGAGGAGGGACCTGAGCCTCGTCAGCCTTTGCACGTGTCGCAAACATGCTCTGTTCTTCCAGAAATAACCCAAATCTGCTGCCCACCTCTGGGGCAGGCAATACCCCAGGCAAGGACATAATCAGTTTGGAAACCGAATTGGAAATCAATGGAAAAAATACCGCACAAGGCTCTGCCACGGAGCCGGGAACAGCAATGTGGCCCCGAGCGCTCCCGGCGGCCCACAGGGCCATTGCTGTCAGCAAAGGAGCCGCTTCTCCAGGCTGCTCCTCGCCCCACACCGTGTCAGGCTGCGTTAGCTCCAGCGCTGCTCTCTCCAAGCAGCCCCGGCAGTTTGTGCACAATTAGCAGCGCCGCTCGGTTTGGGAATGAGGGAAGAGAGGGTCCTTTCCTGACTGCCTGCTCAAGGAACCCTATTAAAAAAATGAAAACCGCTGCTTTTGTTGCAGCCGTTCTGCCTGGAATAGGCAATGAGCCTTGCCTGTTCCCTCTGCTCTGAACCCAGCGATGCTGCAATGAATCGGACCGATTCCAAGTTTGGCAGAGCCAGTGAGCCAGACTGCAGCAAAGATGCCCCCAAACTCCCTGGCTTCCGCTTCTTTGATCATACCATGAATTTTCAGGCCAGTATTTTTTGTGCTTCCCAAGGGAGTTGCACGCTCTCTGTCTAAATAGCGTGACAGCTCCAAACATCTTAGCCTGCAGTCTTACGTTTTTGATTCTTACACTGTCTCCTGTAGTGGATGCCAGTGCTAGAAATGGACACTGGCTTTGGAGATGTGCTTGCAGTGGGCTCACTCACATGCAACAGGGAGGAACCTAGGGCAGATTCTCTAACACATGCATGAGAAGCAAGGTAGAACAGGGTATCAAGGGAAGTTTGCAGCTCCTATGTGAAAAAAAATACTGTTTATAACTAGTTTGCACAAAGCCAAGTTGAACCCCAAGGAGAGGTCTGCTGTTCTCACCACTAGCTGGATGTGCTGCAGGGTGAGACAAGTGCTGCTCGGGCCTGTGATCTTCCTGGGGATGGAGCTGCAGTAGATCAAGAACACTTAGGCGCTCAAGCTCTCCTTTAAGAGATTATTTGCTAAGTGTGATAAACTCTGGTAACACCATTAAAAAATAACCTTCTAGAAAGGGGAAGGAAGGACAAAGATGCTTAACCCAGCACTAAAATATCTAATGCTGAAGATAGCTATGGGGAAAAAAAAAAAAGAAAGGCTGGTTATGAGAAAATGTAAGTGAAGTGCATAAAAACTTAAGCAATACTGATAATGTCATCCTGAGTTACTGCACTCAGACCCAACAAGGGGAGGGGAGCAAGGGCTATAAAATGGAAATAGGGGAGAATCAAATTCAGAGCAGATRTCAAGAAGCACCTTCCTGGTTGGAGGATCGTAAATCCTGGGAATGACCTAGCAAGCAAGGTTGCTGGACTGAAAACACCAAGGTTTTCCAAGGCCTGGTGGGATGGTGTCCCGAAAACACGTATCCAGAGCTAAGTACAGAGCAAGAGGCACTAAACATCCTGCACTGCATCTTGTCCTGGCTTTTGAGATGTCAAGACATCCTAAAGATCTTATATACCAAAAAGAAGGGACTGCCAGCTGCAAAGGGAGCTGGGCAAGTTCTCTTCATGGGAACCACCTGCCTCTTTGGGCTGRTGGACTCGAAGCCTCAGATGTTCGACTCAGATGGTCCGAGCCTCCCAATGTGTGTCCTCCTGCGATCTCTTGGGAGCCCAGCCAGGGAGAAGGAGTCGCTGGAGCAGCCACCCATAGCAATGACCACGTGGTGGTGGCTGCTGCAGATGTTTCTCCTCATCTCCCCAGCTTCCTTGCGAGTGCTAATGGGGCACGTTTCACACACGTTGATTGTATCCAAGAAGAAGGAAAACAAGGCAGACATGGGATAAGACAAGGGCACGCACAGGATACAGATTCAGGGATGAGTCCCACTGTTTGGGATATGCTCCCTGTGCTCCCCATGTCCCCTCGTGCCCTTGCCAGGCTGGTTTGTGAGCAGGCAGGATGCCCGCTGCAGCCCAAGCCTCTCTTGCTCTTTCTTTTGGTACAGATAACAATAAAATAACAGCCCAGATGGACAGGAGTCTCTTGAGGCAGTGAAGAACAACCTTAAGTGGTTGCATGAGAGAAACAATGATTTACCTTGGACTGCAAGGAAAACTCACCGTGACAAGCTTTCTGTGCCAGCAATCAGCGTGTGCTCCATGGGCTCTTCCTGCAAAAAAATGAGGGTTTGGAAGCTGATTATTTCGAGGGGCTGGGCAAGCCCTGACCCTGCTCCTGCCTTCACACGAACCCAGATTTGGCTGCTTTGCTGCATTTTGCCCCCGCTGTGAGACTCAGTGCTCAGAGAGAGGGAAGCATGAGAGCTGTGAAGCCCCTGGACCTGGGGCTGCCCACACACAGCCACTGCCACCAGAGGGGACAGTCCCTGCTGAGACAGCCCTGGTGGCTGGAAATCACCAGAGTCCTGGTCCCAAGGAGGGGCTGGAAACCACCAAGGAGTCTGGGAAGCTAAACTTGGCTTGTACAGCACCCTGGTTGCTTAAATAGCTGGTTAGGGGCGTGYGCAGCCTCTTCCACAGCACCCGCTCGCGGCCTTGGGTGGGAGAGGGGTGCGTGTAGGAGGACATGTGTCAGCATTTCCATGCGAGCAAGTGCCTACAGACAGATGCCATTTCCAAACCTGGAATTCAGAAAAAAACCCTTCCACGTCACTTCCCGAGATCCGGGCTGGGGCTGCTGCGATGTGCTGGGCAGCTTCGGAGCAGAGCGACGTGCGTCTCCGGAGCCGA